CGCACCAGGCTCCTTCTGCGAGCTGCCACCCCGAGGTGGACCCCGAGCAGAGCTCAGCGCAGGACCGCGAGGACCCCTGCCCCCTGGGGCGCGCGGCTGCGAAGCTTCGGGGTCGCATCTGCGTTCAGGATGCCCTGGGCACCTCCCTGCTGGTGAGGATGTCCTGCCGCGCAGCTCTGTATCCCCCAGCCCCTGTCCGTGGAGGGCACGACTGCGTGGGCCCGGCTTCGGGCCCTCCTGCCGGTGGATGAAAAGCGCGGGAGTCCTTGAATGCAATCAGCGATCGAATCTAAATTCTAAGAGCCATGGACGCCAGCACTGGGCTGCAGCCCCAGGTGCGGGAGCAGCTGGAAGCCCCGGCCGCAGTAGGAGCTGTCCAACCGAAGTGCGAACCAGAGACCTTGAGGTCCAAGAGTTTACCCGTCCTGAACAGCACCTCCTGCCGGCCAGATGTCAGCCCTGCGAGTGCAGGCGCCCAGCCTGGCGGTGCAGATGCTTTGGGCCGCCAGGAGTTGAAACAATGCCTGAGCCGGTTGGCGTCCAGCCCCTCTGCCCCGCCCACTTCGGCAGAGATGGCGGGGCTCGTGGACTGCAACCACAGGGTGGACATGGGCAAAGCCATGTCGGTGTCGTCCACGTTGGCTACCCTTCAGGGGAGAAGGTGCCTCTATGTGGTCCTCACTGATTCGCGCTGCTTCCTGGTTTGCATGTGCTTTCTGACCTTCATCCAGTCGTTAATGGTCTCTGGGTACCTGAGCAGCGTCATCACCACCATCGAAAGGCGCTACAGCCTGAAGAGTTCGGAGTCCGGGCTGCTGGTCAGCTGCTTCGACATCGGGAGTCTGGTGGTGGTGGTGTTCGTCAGCTACTTTGGGGGCCGGGGTCGGCGGCCGCTGTGGCTGGCCGTGGGTGGCCTTCTCATCGCCCTCGGGGCGGTGGTCTTCGCCTTACCTCACTTCATCTCGCCTCCCTACCAGATCCAAGAGTTGAACGCCTCGGCTTCCAACGAAGGCCTGTGTCAGAATGGCAACTTCACGGGGACTGTGGAGCCTCGCGCCTGCCAGAAGGACTCGGGCGGGAAGAACCACTGGCTCTTTGTGGCTCTGTTCGTCTGTGCACAGATCCTCATTGGCATGGGCTCCACACCTATTTACACCCTGGGACCAACCTACTTAGATGACAACGTCAAGAGGGAAAATGCATCCTTGTACCTAGGTAAGACTTCCCTGTCCTCCCAAATAAGCGGAAGTTAGAAGTCAACAGGAAACCCTCTCCTCCCCATTTTCCTGGAGACGTTATGTATATTTATATACAATGTGTTGCATATGTATTATAAGCATTGCCTTTCAGTTTGGGAGCGAATCAAAAAGTTGAGAGCTCTCTGAACTAGTTTTAAGATTCTCACTTCATACTCTTTTCCCAAGTGATACAAACTTTTAGCTATAAGGTAGGCTCGCTCTCTCTCTCTCTCTCTCTCTCTCTCTCTCTGGAAAAGCTCTAATTTATCAAGTTTACCTTCTAATAGCTGTCCTTCTAGAAAGCTTCCAGAAGGAATAGAAACAGCCAGTGTGTGGAGTGAAGTTGCTGCTTGCCTTTCCCGTCCCCAGGAGCTTGGGTGACGAAGTACCCAGACCACGTAAAACATCATTGCCTCCGTACCTGCATTTCTTACATTTCACCTGCATCACTGAAACAAACAAACAAACTTGAGTGATACCATATGACTCAGTGTCTTTATGTAGAAGCAACTTCACAAGTTTATCCAAAGCTATTTTTATTGCTGGTTGAAGACCCCTCAGTTACATGAACTTGGGAGCAGAATCCATTATTATTTTCTGAACAGCAGTGGCTCTTGGATTCGGTGAGCTGACGTGCATGAGTCAGCTCCTGTGGACAGGGGTGCTAGGGTTGAGTACAGGGTTCTCATGTGAGGCCAAGCAGCCATTGTAGCCCGTAGGAAAATGTCGTTCCTAGAAATCTGTGTGGTTGGCACCTCCCTGCACAAGCTGCCCCTTCCAAACTGAACTGCTAGGTGATGGGTTGGAAGCCTTGGAAAGCATGAATAGCAGCTATGCCGGCTGTGGTATTTGTTTTCCTATGTTTCTCTACTGGAGTCCAACTAAAAGAAGATAAGTGATTTTACTTTATTTAAAAAATGGTAAATAAGCAAATACCAGGCCCATCCAACAACTTATTAGCTATGTGCTGATAGGATCCTTGGTGTGGGAATAATAAAGTTTCAGAGGACGGTGAAAATGATACCCAGTTAAGAGGGCTATGCTTTTTCCACAGTAAAACTGCTGTCCCCAGACTCTGTTGTAGAGGGTGTCTGAACCATTTATAGTAACTGGCCCAAATGCATTGACACAAGAGTTTTCTAATTCATTTTTGGTATTAAATGCAAGAGGAAGAAATTTCTGTTTAGGACAGAGAGGAATTAGCTTGCTGTTGCTTTGCCTGCATGTTTTCTAACATTTATTATGATAAATTTCAGAGCATACAAAAAGTTGAAATAAGGACTTTCTTTTATATAACTGCTGGAGTTTTAACATCCTAAAAAAATTAAAAATCATTCCCTAATGTACTCATACTAGAGGCCTGATACACAAAATTCATGCAAGGGGTTCAGCCCTTGCAGCTCCGGCTTCGTCTGGGAGGTTGTCCGGGAGGTTGTTCGGCTGTCCGGTCTAATTAGCATATTATGCTTTTATTATTATAGATATCCACTCTATATTCAAATGTCCTCAAACCAGGAGTCAATCAAGTTCACCCATACATTGCATTTGGCTCATTAGCATTTTATAATCTAGAACAGGAAGTGCCTCAACATTTTTCTTTTTCCAGCACACAGGCTTTTGAAGGGACAGGCTAGTTGACTTGTGGAATGTTCCACCTTATACATTTATCTGAGTATTTCCTCATGGTGTCACTTACCTGGTTCCTCCACTCCATATATTTCTTGTGTGCTGTAAGTTCAGTCTAAAGGTGTGGTTAGACTCAGACAAAACATTTTTGGTCAGACTACTTCATGGCCAATGCTGTGTTTTATATTATTTGCTCCTGGCATTCATTGGTGATGCTGAGTTTAATGACTTGGTTGAGTGGGTGATTGACAGGTCTTTCCATCATAAATATACATTTCTCCCTTGGAAATAAGTAATCTTTAGAGTGATACCTTGACTCTGTGTACCTATCTCCATATTCTCCCTGATCTTTGCTTCTATTTACTTTGAAAACTTGGATCTTCCTTCCATCCCACTTCTTGGTACCAGTGTCACAAATTTCATCAAAAACACAGCAGAGAGCTACACAATAAACATCTAGTAAGAGCCCTGAAATTTAACTTTTAACTCTCCACCAAAGAGAAAAACAGCAAGTACGTACTGAATCCTTATTCTGTGCTGGGCACTCTGCTACTTTTGGGAAGAGCAAAAATGAGACATAGTTTCAACATCTGAGGAGCTTTCAGTGTAATGAAGAAATACTGACAATTCAAGGTAGGGGTGTGAAGTGACACGTGCAAGGGGAGGGAAGTTACACAAATGGTGTTAGTTTCCCCCCTCCCCTTCCTCTCATTCTCCTCCTCCTTTTCCCTTCTCCTCCTCCTCCTCCTTCCCCTCTTTCTCCTTCTCTTCTTTTAACTATCGACTACTGAATTTTTTTTTTAAGTTTGATGAATGCCTTAGGAAACCCATGAGAATTCTGCTTCATGTTAAACAGATCTCAATGAACGCTCTGGTGGTTTGAGTATAAGGAATCTTCCACAGATTGTTTTATTTAATGTTCCCAATGACCTTATGATACTGAAGTTGATTTCCCTATTTTATGGATGAGGAAACTGAGGCTCCAAGAGTGTTAGGGGTTGCTTCTGGGCTTCAAACCCAGGCCTGTCTAACCCCAGAGCCCTTCAGCTTCCCTCCATGCTGCATGTCCTTTGGCAAGAGGCTCTGAGAACTAACTGATAGCAAAGGCCTGTGTGCAGCAGAGTTCTCAGAATGGCCTGAAGTCATCAAAACAAGATCCTTCTCAAAACCTTTTTAAAAGGAGGCTTTATTGGTTGCTATATTCTTAGAACATGAGCAGTGTTAACCTAGTATGATGTGGATTTTTTTCTTAATAAACAACTGGTTAAATATCTTTGGTACTTTTCACAAAACTATTCTTCTTAGATTACCCTTTTAACTACCTACTTCTTTCTTAACCTTTTTGTCAGTCTTTTCTCTTTTAATATATTTTTATTGATTTCAGAGAGGAAGGGAGAGGGAGAGATAGAAACATCAATGATGAGAATCATTGATTGGCTGTCTGCTGCACACCCCCTACTGGGGATTAAGCCCGCAACCCGGGCATGTGCCCTTGACCGGAATCGAACCCGGGACCCTTCAGTCTGCAGGGTCCACAGAGCCAAAACAGCTAGGGTGATTGATTCTATTTTTAAAAAAATATATATATCAATATTTTTATTATTGATGTCAGAGAGGGAAGGGGTGGGAGAGAGAGAGACAGAGACATCAATGATGAGAGAGAATCATTGATCGTCTGCCTCCTGCATGCCCCCCCACTGGGGATCAAGCTCGAAACCCGGGCATGTGCCCTGACCGGGAATCATACCATGACCTCCTGGTTTACAGGTCGGCGCTCAACCACTGAGCCACACCGGCCAGGTCACATATCTTTTTATAATTGGAAAAAAGGCAAGAAACACTGTGTAGGAAACCACCCCTTTGTACAGGGAAATCTGAATCAGTGTTGCAGCAACATTATATTCTGCATTTTCTGAGAACCCAAGGTTTTGTCACCAGAGCTTTCTGCGTGCCAACCATTGACGACTCTTTCCTTAATGTGTGAACATTTATGTAGTGTGTGTTTGTGCCTCATGTAACACAATAAAAGCTCTTTTGAAGTTTGAGGGGCTCTGTGGTGTCCCCGGCTTCACCATTGTGCCCGCTGACTCTCAAGGATGTCCCATGGGCCAGAATGGAGCCCCCTGGCCTTCCCTGGCTGCGGCGATTTGGGGGAAGGCAAGTTTTAGAATTTCCAGTCTCTATGGGAAAGGAAGGCAAGGGAGGTGTGGGTAGTGTGACCACTGAGTGGCCTCTAGTGGTATCTGCACACTGGTCATGTTTTCTCTTTTGCCTCAATAGTCAGAAAATTCAGGCCTTCTTCCCCCCCGCCCCCCACCCGATCAGTATTAATAACCTATTCTAAGTGGCTGGGAGCATTAGTGTTCCTGATCTTTTTGTGGGGATTTTTAAAGGATCCCATAAAGAGCACCCTTTCCCCTCACTTGAGTTCTGAGTTAAGAAATGAGCCAAAGGAATTAAACTGTGATAGAAGTAAGGTTGAAGAGTATAATGTGTGCAATGCACTTTCTCCTAATCCCAGCATTAAAGAGACTTAGCCATCCAGCCACCGGAAATGCTGCACCTCCCCAGGGTGGCAGCTGGGGGTCTCCCACGCAGGCCGGGTGCACAGGTGAGACGCATGCCAAGGAGGAGCAGGGCAGGATTTTTACTCCCATGCGCATGCTCCCAGGAGGCAAAAAGGAGGAGGGAGTTGAGCCGAACATCCCCGTTTATTTTCAAAGTCATCAATTACAAGAATCCTCTTCTCTCTGGGCAGGAACGGCATGGGGGGTGGGGCTGGGGAGCCAAGAAGCAGCAGGAGTGGGCACGTACACATTATCCCCTAAGACTTGTAACTGTGTTTTTTTTAGTCTGCTTTAATTTTGCTTGTCTTTTTAATAATGTGTTTATCTTTACAAGCCACATAAAATCCTTTTGGGCCATGGCCAGGGTTGCTCAGTGGTAGAGCATCAGCTCACACACTGAAGGGTCAAATGGTTGTGGGTTCGATTCCCGGTCAAGGGCATGTACCTGGATTGCAGGTTTTGGTGTGTGCAACCAATCCAAAGATCGATCTCTCTCTCTCTCTCTCTCTCCCTCTCCCTCTCCCTCTCCCTCTCCCTCTCTCTCCCTCGTTCTCTCCCTCCCTTCCACTCTTTCTAAAAATCAATGGAAAAAATATCCTCAGGTGAGCATGAACAACAAAAAATTCCTCCTGGGAAGCAGGCTCTGTACAAATTGTGAATAAATACACAAAATAATCTCCACTGAAAGCACTCGTGAGGGAGAATGGCGACTGAGGGATTTGGGGAGGTGACCGGGACACGTGGAGAAAGATGGGGTGGATGCTGGGCAGAGGGGCGGTGTAGC